ACAAAAACAGTGGAACAGGCGATTCTACCGGGGGAAAGTACAGTGAATATGTTCCTTCAGTCTGCCCTCAAATGTTTTTTCCTTCACTAACACTGGTCAATAACGCTCCTAAACAAAGGAAGAAGGAATGATAGTGATTAAGGAAAACTGAAAATTGTAGATGTTAACATAACAACGAAGTGTAAAGAATAGTAAATTAATTGTTTACATAATTACGATTTTTGTTATTATAGATTTAAATGTTGATGTATAAGGAGTTTGAATGTTTATCTGCAAACATAACTCGAGATAGTGTGGGGTATGAGATGTTGGGTTCACACTCAGAATGTTGAAATTGAATTGAATTTATTTTTCGGTTTATGTTTAGCCGTGAGGTGGATTTTACAAATTACGCAAGGCAACCATTACAAATAGCGGAGTCGAGGCGGGAGATAGCGATAGCGAAATATAGAAAAGGGGGTTAGAAGGTTTAGTAGTGAAAGAATGTGGGTTAAACGGAACAGACTTTTAGGAGAAGAGAAAGTGTGTGGCCTTCTGCCCACTGCATGGTATTGGGTGGTAGGTTGGGGTGACTAGAGCAATGGGAGGGCGGAAAAGGATGTGGAGAAAAGAAGGCAAAAGGAAATGGAGTGCCCATCCCTATTTGGGTGGGGTGCACCTCATCTTTAATTTGTTTGGAGGGCCCATTCATTATTTTTCTGAGTAGGGTAACACTTTTTATTATAGATAGAGGGAAACGGATGGAGATAGAGACGTGGTGGCTCAATATCACATATTCTTTCACCTCTACAAATATCTGCTGTCACTCATGGGACACCCTGCAATAGTATAAGGACGACATGGGCTATGCTGACAAATTAATGTGACTTACCTGTTGGTGACGACGATGGTAGGAATGAGACCTCGGCATGTTTCAGTGTTCTACATCATTTCCTTCCCCTGGTGTGGGTGGCGCCAACCTTAGTAACAACTTGTGTGCCCATCAGTCTCACCGTCGTAGCCATGAACGGCAGAGATATGGTCGTTGTAGTGCTTTTATTTACCCATTACACATCTCTCACCATGCTTAATAATATTAACTATCTTCATGACATTCTTATTGTTATCAGTGATTGCGGAATTCACGATGTTATGCTCCACCTACACACAGCTTGTTACTAGACTAACCCCCACCTCCTCTATTCCCCCTCCCCCCACACACTACAGTGGGCGACATCTGTTGGCCAACCATAGCATTTCCCGCAGTTGTTTCGAAACTTCAGACTCAAGGCTATTCGAATCCTCACTGTGGTTGGGTAGTTGACACGACTTTGGTGCACGATAGTACAACAGCATGACCAAGCAACCTATAGGGCTTCTGGGAGGGGGGGCCCTTTGTAAGGCCCCTGGGGCACCACTACCTCTGGAAGTGCCCCTTATGGCACCACCGCCTTTGGGATGGACCCTGGGGGCACCGCCGCCCTTGGGTGCGCGACCGCCCCTGGGAGTGCCTGTGGGTGCGCGTCCGGTCCCTGGCAAGGCCCATGAGGGTGCCGCTGTCCCTGGGTGGGCCTCTGGGAGGGTGCCGCTGTCCATGGGTGGGCCCCTGGGAGGGTTCCTGGGGACACTACCGCCCATGAGAGGGCCTTTGATGCACTGCTGCCACTGTAAAGGCCCCTGGGGTGTCGCCACCCCTGGGGGTGCCTCCACCCCTAGGAGGATTCCTGAGAGTTCTGCCGCCCCTGGTAGGGCGCATGTGGGTGCAGTCATCCCTGGGAGTGTCCTTGGTGTCCAAGCCGCCCCTGAAAGAGCCCCTGGGATCGCCGCCCCCCCTGAGAAAGCTAAGGTGCTACAGTGTCTTCCTTTTCCTGTGTGGTGTTAAATGTTACTGGTAACAGTTTCCTAAATACTCTCTTTTTAAAATGTGGGGTGATTATAATATGGTGTTTTTACGTCATTATTTATCATTTTTATACATTAAGAACATTTGCCATAGGCTGAAGTAGGTTTTACTGTATCATGTGTCTGAGGTGTCTCTGCAGGTGTGAGTGTATTAACGGAATTAATTTCGATTTAGCGAATTAGTTTATTAAATTGAGCGAAAAATAACGTAAAAAATCTTTCTGCTAAATTGAGTTTGTTATATGTATCGGATTCTGTTAAATTGAGAGTACCTGTATACTGTATGCTGTGTACAGTAGAGTATGTTGTGTGTGTTATGTAGTACAGTATTGTGTGCAGTAGCGTTGCTAAAAGAAAGTGGAGTTAATTTACTTTAAAAGGAATAATTATTGCAGGCTGGGCCATTGAGGTTAGTAAACTGCAATAGTGAAATTAGCTGTCAAGACTGTACCAGAGATTAGTTCTGGATATCTGCAGCCCTCCAAGCCACGAAGAGGAATATTTAAGTAAGCCGTAACTTCAATGTTCTATAAATTTGAAAGGATAAGCTGTTAATGTAGGAAATGCATTCAGAAAAGTTATTCTGTACTGTATTTATAAAATAACTAACATGTTTGTGCAGGATGGGAGTGACTAAAGTAACATGTTTTGCACTTTATAATGCAGTGTATAAGCTTAATGTTCAAATTAAGTTGCTTGACATAACTTATATACGTATTTCTTTTCAGCCTTTTCTATAAAGATTTTCCATTGATAAATTTGATGTAATATATTGCAGGTCTGTAATGGCGACATTCTTCGGTAAGTTAGCAATTTTTTATGCTAAATGCCAAAATTGTGGCCCTTAGCTGTACACAATAAAAATCTTGGGGGCTAATTATCTATTCAGAGTAAAATGTGAGTTAAATATTAGTTTTGAAACTGAAATTGAAGGGGTGGTTTATTTGTGACTGATGAATTTGGAGGTGAAGTTAAAGATTACATACAATGTTGGATTTTTCTTAGAATAAACCAGCAAAAATGGAGTCTCCAAGAAGTGGTTAGTAGTACTACTGTTAACGTTTATCCTTGTTTCCAATTACTGTACTGTAATAAGTAAAGATTTTAATTGCTTCACTATGGGGAGGTGTCTTAATGTAACATAATTTGGAGACTGCAGAAGGGGTTAATTATAATGTAGAATCTCAACAAATTAAAATGATCTGTCTCAAACACATTAGCAGGTACAAAGTTTTGTACTGTATAGAAATCTAATTGTTGTTTTCTTCTGTTTTAGGTTATGGCAGCAAGTTGAACATGGCAGATTGGCTACACACTGAATTTTGCTAATTTCTTCTTATTAGTGAGTTACTTTTTGAATGTGTCTGCAAATCTAAGATAATGATGGTGGTTTTGAAGAGTGAAATTGACTTGCTAAGATACAGGGTACTCTGTGTAGTTGACTTTGCTGTTTAGCACTGTTGTTATGCTAAGTGTTTGATTTGAACATTATCACATTTACAGGCAGACATTTAAAATGCAAATCACAAATAAGGAGAAATGAGCAACATTCAGTGTGTAGCCAATTCTGCCGTGTCCAAGCTGCTGCCAATTTTCTGGTCAAAACCTACCAGATGGACTGGAGCTTATCTTCGGAGATGACCTAAAATATCTGGAAAAATTAAAAAAGTCTTCAGTCTAAAAATGGCTGTATTTGTCTTAAGAAATAATAGAGAGTTTGAGGAGAGACAATTTTTTATTTTGATGACATCGTTTACAAAAATACAAAGTGCTCGGCAAGCTCAACTGGTTTTGTTGAGGTATGAGTAAGAAAGAGTTGCTGTACATCTTACAAGTCTTCTAAAAAGATGCTGAAGACTTTATCACAATATAATTCATTACACCAAATAACTTGTGTTATTGAAGACTATCACAGTCTTAACCCTTAGCCGGCAGCAGAACTATATATAGATGGTCCATAATGTGCTGAAAAATTGAGGTGAGACTATATATAGACGCTTCTCCAAAAGCCATCTCCTGTATTTCCCAGCTGAGACTATACTGTATTTATTGTCGGATATGTATGAGTGCCCTAGAGCCTCAGAAATCCCTAACTAGAAACTCAAGGGTGGCGATGGCTTGCCTGATCGCTGGTGCCAGCCGCCAAAAGTGCCAATCACTTGAACAGTCTGTTCCCAGCTTTCATAAAGAACAGAGCACTCTCTTTGGAGCTGAATTTTCATTCTTTCTTTCAATTATTGTTTTTTGTCTGTTTGGCATTTCACCATTTATTTACTTTTTATTTTCTTTGCCTGTTCCATATTGTGGTAGTCTATATATTATAGATGGTGTTAAAACTTCACAAAATGTGGTGTGACTCTATTTATGTTCCACTCCAGTGGTCGGCGGCATCTATATAATGACGCTTTTTAAATTTGGCGCTTCTTCAGTCACTGCTGCCGCCGGCTAGGGGTTAAATATCAAGATACAGTATTTGGTGTAATGAAGTATTTTATGATACAGCAAAGTCATACACATGTAATGTCAAATAATGGGAAGAAAGGATCTGTTGTAAATCTCATTGTAAGTCTTCATAACATGTTGAAGACTTTATCACAAGATACTTCAATGATGCATATGACTGGTGTAAGAGGCCTCAGAAATGTGCTTAATAAGCCCACTCATGTGGGAGCTAGCTCCCAAACGTGTCACCTTGTTCCTGACGACTGCGAAAACAACTGTCTGTCTTATAAATGAGATGGAGTTACATTATGCTCTAGCAACTACAATACTGTACTTGGCATTGACTGCTTTTGAAAAGGCTGGACTAGTTATTTGACTTGAACACATGAAACAGCTTGGAAAGTAGAAGAAAGGTGTACAGCTGTTACCCAAAAGACAATGTCTTACAAATGAGATTGAATACACCAAAGTAGAAAATAAACTGACAAATACATAATGGTATGGGACAATTGCTGGTGAGTAATGATGAATATCTTATACAAGTAATCTGATAATCTTTGCAAATATGATCAAAAATTATCAAAATATCTGGATTCTTAGTACCGTACATTAGCAAATGCCAACAAAATGATGAAACTGATTATGTTGGGCAAACTATTACTACAAGATATTCCCCCAAAAAAATACACCTGTTACCCAAGACACAATCTTACAAATGAAAAGTGAATACACCAAAGTACAAAAGAAACTGGCAAATAAATAAAGGTGTTTGACAATTGATAAGTAAGCAATGATGAATATCTTATGCTCTGAATGTCATTAGGACTACTAATTAGTAGTTATCAAATTCTGGACCATAGATTTTAATCAGCATGCTCAGGAGTAACTATACTGAGATTTTTAACAAAATCCCAGAGCTCAAAATTAATTTATATCAAAATTGGAATTTAATGGATTTAAACTAATTAAATCCTTCCAGAATAACACAAAAACACCACAAAATTAAACAATAAAAACATAGTTGGCGAGTAATTAGCACTGACAAATGCCATTAAAATCTTACAAACATCATTATGACCACCAATTACCCGACAATAAAAATTTTAATCAGAGATTCAGAATCAGCATGCTTAGGAGTATCTATACTGAGATTCAAACAAAACCCTAGAGATCAAGATTATGCCTGAAACTGCAAGCCTAAGCAATTTTGGGACCAAATTTTTTTTTCTCTAGGAACTGGAATTCAACGGGTTTAACTGCTGTATAATTAAGTACTTCCAGAATAACACAAAAACACCAAAAAATCACCTCACTTCTACAAACTTCAAAAGTCATTCTCCCTTAAATACAGTCTCAAGTCATTCTTCAGTCTACATAACTTCAGAAAAGTAAAAAAGTCTTTCAAAGAACACAACTGAAACACAGCAGCACCAGCACTCAACTCAGTAAAAAATAACCTGTCAAGTAATGGGGTGGACACAACCACTGAGCACTTACATCTACTGCGGGGAACTAACTCAGCCACATACTGTAAGGTGTTCATTCTCTTGCTGAGGTCCTGGTCGAGTGTGATGGTTGACTCATCTGGTGTACAAATCACAATTGCTGTGGTGGTACATTCCTTCCTGCGGTATGTTCCTTGGTGCTGCAGGACCTGATGTCTCCACCTATGGGATGAGGATCTTGTTTGAGAATATAAGGATCAGCTGAGGACTAGCCCCCAGACTGTGCAGATTAGCAGTTCCCAGACAAATTATTTTTCATGGCCTGGTGCATAGCATTTGCTTGGCAGACATATTACAGTAAACCCCCGTTAACTCGGCATTTGGTAACTCAGAATTTCATACAACTCGACATGGCTATGGTCTCGGAATGTATTATAGTATAACTTGGGAAATGCCGAAATACATAAAATTATCTGGGAAAATCTTGGCATATCAGGCCACCTGTGTCACCAACCATGCCTCTGTGTCACCTACTGTACCCCTGTGTCACCTACCATACCTCTGTGCCACCTATCATACCCATGTCACCTACCATACCCCTGTGTCACCTAAATTTTTTACTGTTGTATTTTTGTAGGAGGGAAAGTGTCTTGATAAGTCGGAATTTGGGATAACTTGGAAAGGCCAGAGCCCCATATGTGCCAAATTATTGAGGGTTTGCTGTAATACTTTGAGAGGAAAATAGACTATAAAATGTTACACATCATTGTCCTACACAATGTTTGCAGCTTCCTACATCATCATGTAAATGTTATCTAGACAATATGACAATATTTGACATGCAGATAGACAGCCACAGATAGAAAATACCTACCAGTCAAGACTTGTGAAATATACCACCACTGATATGAATAAACTGGTAGCATAGCATTTTTTTTTACTTAGAACTATTACTTTTAAGCATATCTAGACCTTACTATAGATATAAAAAAATATTTGCCATAATCGGATTTAATACAAGGGTACACCAAAATAATTCTGCCATTCCAATAAATGTGAATTTTGCCGGAAGCCACAAACAAAATAAATTACCGGAGAAATAACCCCGAGTACAGTACAATGACTTTATTCAAGGAGTAAACCTTAACCCTTTGAAGGCCATAAATTAGCTTGTTGCGTTAAATAACCTAACTTCATGAGTACGGTGAACAAGCCCTTTGAGTAAGATGACACAACTCAGGAACCATTTAAATATTCTCAAGGTGGCTAATTAATCATACTCAAGGTAGCTAAATAATCATACTCAAGGTGGCTAATTCATCATAATTAAGGTGGCTAATTCATCATAAACAAGGTGGCGAATTCATCATAATCACAGTGGCTAATTCATCATACTCAAGGTTCCTAATTCATCATACTCGAGGAGCCAAGTCTTCATACTCCAGGGGCTTTAAATCACCCTCTTCCGTAGATGGGGCGAGGGACCCAACCTGATATGATCATGCTGAGAAGATAGTAATTTTTGCATCTGCTTCTTTCAGTCTTGTGCCTTTCCAAATGGTGACCTTAACCTCTAAGGGAGATGGGGAGTTATTCTGGTGGTCCTGCTTCGTGTGTAAGCTGGTTTCCCTCTCGATATACAGACGAATATGGGGTACATGAGCCCAAAATCTGAAATGCCATAAAGTTTGTCTGTTGTACTAGTACAGGAGTAATACTGTACCTGTCTATGTAAACATAATTTAAAAAAAAAATTTTTTTTAGCATGCCATCAATGGAATGACTGGTCCCTCAACTAACACAGTAATCAGTACGATTCATGAGCTATGTTATTGTGTGGAAACTATTTGTCAACAGAAAGGATATATGAAAAGATGGATGGAGAAAATGACAGACAGAGAAAAGGATGGCCAGAGAAACAGTTTGGCCAAGAAAACAATTAGATGTTGATCTTAAATGAACAAATTAAAAAAATCAAAACAATATGTCTACAAGGGACAGCCAGAAATATTAAAAACTAAAACCAGCAAAGCTTTACTGTATTACATAGAAAGTTCATTGTCTGGGGTAGCTATAACAAATTCCAGGAAAATTTTCTCCATTCCAGGCATGGGCATGAATTTCCAATAAATTGCATCATGTTTCCGAAGTGGGGATGTGTGCCGGGTGCTTATGAGCTATGATTGGCCACTACTGTCAAGTGACTGCATGGGATGCCTATGATTGACTTATATATTTTGCAGTCTATCTTCTCAAACTCTTACATCATGACACTCTTAGTTCATTGTCTGTTGCCACTGTACAAGCTTGTTCGCTGCTGTCTTCACATACGATCTGTGTTGTGCAGTACTATACCAGCATATAATCAGCCAAGAATACCATTAAAGCAGTGTTAAGATGTAAAAAGTGATTAGTTATGTATATTGCACTGTACATTCTGTAAGTGTGAAAGTACCATATGTACAGTAATGTACACAGCAGCGTGGACAGTGTATGCCTGTCCTGTATCATTATATCACTATTTGGCCACTATAAAAGTGATTTAAAACTTACTTTTTATATATCTTTAATTATTTCAAACGTCATTAACTAACACAAAATACTAAAAATTTTCAATTGTGGAGCCAGATCCTTAAACAGCATTATAAAGTAGTACCTTAGTATGAAATTTGAACAAAATCCATGGTGTGACCCCAAGTGCTGTAACTCAAGGTGCTAATTACCTTTCTAATGCTAATAACTCACTGTCTGTTTTTCAAGATCACTTTTTGGTTTTTATGCATTATTCTGGATATACCTAAGTAATTAGACACTTTTGAACATGCTGATTAAGGATCTGTTGTCTGCAATTTGATATCTGTACAATTACCTGTCCCAATGACATCTCAAAATTCTAATTACTTTTCTAACACTACTTACTTGCACCCTATGGCGTTTCTTCTTCAGAGTATTTATAACCTTGCAGAAAAATATCAGGAGATAATTTGTTACTGATTGAAATGAGTGTAATACACAACAAAGAGATTTAGAACATCCTTAAATAAACTATAAAGTTCCTTACCGTGTATTACATCTCCCAATAACTACGTCTCCAACAAATTAATAAAAAACAGCAATAGCCACAAATTACATTGCCTGGAGTATAAGTTCTCACCTTCCACAGATTATGAGGGGAGTCTATGGTAGTGACTGAATGAACTTAAGTGTCTGGGAGGTACTGGTAACTGTCTCTTGTGGAATAATAATATGTCAATGTAAACACCACTGGCAACATGGCTAAACATAGGCATATAAGGCAAGAGAAACTGCCATCTTCAGTATTTCTGAATCTGTACAGGGCTTCTGATGTGATTCAATTCTTTATTTAATGTTAGATTAATGACAACTAAAGAGAGATCTGGTTTCAAAGATACGTACTGTACTTGGGTTTCAAAATAGTATTTATATACCTGTACAGTACATCAAACAGAACACCACAACTTGATAAGAAATAAATAAAACTGTACACTATCAGATGTATCTAAAGGGATATTAATACAGTGAAATAAGATGAAAAACATGTTACTACAGGAACACCCTTTTTCAAATACTGTACCTGTACCATGAACTTACTGACCTTCCAAGAGCAGGTTTCCATTTGGAGTTGGACTCGGCTCCTTGGCCGCTAAAATCTGCCAGTGTAATACAGGTATTGTTGACAACAACCACTGCAAGTTGCTGCTCTGAGGCCAGGCTTTTTAATGCTACAGCCAACTGGTTTATTATGCCCAAACCTGTGAAGATTAAACATTTGGGGAGTATAGTCTGTCTCTTGAGGATATCGCGGCTTATGACATGAAAAAGAATCCCAACAATATGCCGTAGTGGGTAATAAGCCAAAAGATCACAAAATGTGTAGTGTGTATAATTCACATTCATATATTCTATTTAAAAGAGGGCCTGTAATTGGGGAAATGTTAACAAAATTAATGCAGCTTAGTTAGTTTTTATAAGTGAGACAGTACCTCGGAGGCTTGATGTCATAACGAGGAATTTATAGTACGGTTGAGGATACTGTGCGAGGGAGGCTCTACATGAGTAGCTTTGACATATACATTTAATTTCCTTAAACAGAAAATAACACCAAAATATTTTCATTATAATGGAAGAAACAACAAGACTAATGCAGCACCGTTCAACTAGTGTACAGTACCTTGTTTCTTAGGCTCTGCTAGGAGAGGTAAGATAACTGCAGGCAAAGAGTCCACTATCACTAACTTAGTCTTCCCCATTGATTTTATGGAGCTACTCTCACCACCACCATTACTGCCTCTATCTTTTTTTCTTGTGAGGAAGTGTGGCTGTCGAGCTACTTCTAGTGCTTGAAATACACCCCAAACATCAGAGGGTGTCACAATCTTGATATGGGCAAGAGCTTGTCCCACTAACTGGAATAGAGATCAGTAAAAAAAAATACAGCACTTTTTGGTTGTGAATTATGATTTTTTATACATTTTACAGGTACAGGTAAATGCTCATAAGACAGCAGAGTCTTTAGTATTATATAAAGCAGTGTTGGTCTCAGGAGTCTACATACCATATAACCTTATTTTATGAAACATGTTAAACAAATGTATGATCCTGTGGCTTTGAGGATATTAGAACTGTTAGATCCATTAGACAGGTATGCAATATATGGCAACAAGATGCTTCTTAGGGTTTTCATTCTAAACCAGTTGACAACAAAACTGATTAATGCAACTAGCAATGACTGGAACAATCAACTGATGAATACAAATTATCAACCTTATCTTGGTTAATCTTTAATTTATATATCTGCAATAATTTTATATTTTAATTGTTGTTTTACCCATTTGTCTGAGTTTCCAAGAAGTAAGCCACTGACAACTTCATTCCCTACCTCTTCAAATTCCTCTTTGGCCTTTGGCTTACACAGTTACTGAAAACTCTGTTCCTGTAATATTAGCAATAATGTTGTGTTTGATATGTTGCACATACTGGTACAGTATAGATGAACAAGAATAAGTGAAACTGTTGAAGAAGATTGAAGATTTATTTTTTAATAAGAAGAGAATTACCACAAGACATTCAAATAACAAGTACTGTACTGTATCTTTAAGTTAACTCTTAAATGAGAGTAGAAACAAACAATACAGGTTTGGGAATACAGAGGCTGATGCACCTACCTCAGGTTCTTCAGACAGAGCCTCTACCACAGAGGAAATCCTTAGAGCACTGATACTGGCAAGAGGGTCTATATAGAGCACACTTTTACCGAACTTCAGAGCAGCATGGACAGCCAGGTTCACACAGAGGGAGGTTTTGCCAACACCCCAACCACCACACACTTCCATCACCTCGCCTGCCATCAGACCACCACCCAACAGGTTGTCCAGACTGTAAGGGAAAGAAAAATGGTTTTACTTGACATCACTAAAGAGGAACCATGATATTCTAAAGATTTTATTCTAATAGTAAAAACATGGGCATCAGTTATCCATACAGTGCATATTTTCAGTAAAAATTTTAGAGGATCCCCAAGAATAATTAAAAGACTTTAGACAATTAGCCGGTATACCATAAACAGAAAAAATTAAAGTGCTGTACTGCATTTTCAATTTTTTAACCTTCTTTGTACACCAAAATAATATACTACAATAATACTTGTAAGAATGAAACCTCTGGGAATAAAACTCCTTTATAACAAAATCTGTAAATTATTATTATTTTTTTTTTTAATTACATGAAGGAAGAAGTAAAAGGTGAGTACAGTAAGGTACTGTAATATATTACTGTAATTATATTAATCTAGATATGAATGATAATAAAATGTGCTAAATTTATTACACACATCAATAATGAATAAAATACTTACTGGGCAAAGATTCAATTATGGTTTATATAGAACAGTACAGTACATACATTACTACACTACATGACACTATGGTTTAAAGTTTGAAAACAAAATAATGTGGTTCCACCCTAAGAACTATCTAAACTTTTCTCCAAATTTCACACAGGATCCAGCACTTACTTCGTGTTCCCAGTTGTTATAGCTATTGCTGTTTTTATGGCTGCTTCCAGCATGTCATCACCAGAAACAGCAAAGGCAGCATAGTGTGCACGAATTATTTGACGGATACTGTACAAGTCCTACAATAATTTAATGACATCATGTTAAACCATTAATAAGAACATGATACAAAAAAGATGAAAGTATTTTACAGTATAAAAAACAGGAGGATCAACTCATGTATATAATGTAAACTATGACCCTTCATAAATTAATAGTAATTAAAGTAGTGACCCTCATCTTAACTCTTATCTTTACGGAAGGATCCAATGAATTTCAAAATGAACACCATGACTACATTTTTTTTACGGGGAATAGCCTACCCGAGCACAGGTCGTCGACCCACAACGGGGCCTGGGGGGTGAAAAAATAAGAATAAAACGAAATTAAAAATAGAAGAGAAAAAGACTACAGTAATATCTCCGTTAGCCAGAATCCCTTACACCCGGAACTCTCCGATAGCCAGAATTGAAATTTTCTCGGAAATTCATTCCCAAAGCCGGAATTTTGCACGAAAATTTTCCCGATACCCGGAAAATTCCGGGGAAGGGGGAATTTTTTCCGGATTTCAGAGATGATGTACAGGTAATGGGCAATTTATGGAACTTCAGAGAACATTTTTCCGTTACCCGGAAAGTTCAGGAAAATTCCGGGGATGAGGGATATTTTTCCGGGTCCAAGAGACAATTTAATGGGAAATTTCTGGAACTTCTGAAAATATTTTTCCGTTACCTGGAGAATTTCAGAAAATTCCGGGGATGAGGGATTTTTTTCCGGCTTTGAGAGTCTTCTTGTTACTGGAAGACAAAGTGTGCACCTAGGTGCCTAATTATTTACAAAACAAAGCATTTGCACAAGAAATTATTATTATATCACAACTCACTGATGAAAATAAAGTAAAAAAATAAACATTAAAACAAATAGCTTGTCTGCGGGTCAGTCGTCAATATTAACCAAGAGTTCATCTTAACCTGCCATAAGCTAAGCTCCCGCCCCCCCCCAAAAAAAAAATTATTATCAAATCAAAACTCACTGATGAAAATACAGTAAGAATATAAACATGAAAACAAATAATGCGTCGGCAGTGTAGTCGTCAATATTAACCATAAAACGCTGAGGACAACACAAAAAATCAAAAGACTAAATTCAGTTGTGGTTCTCATATCTTTTATCCTCTTCGCCACTGATCGGCTTGTTAGCCGCTTGGGCGATCGGTCACGACTCTTTTCCTTTATATTCTTCACCAAAAGGTCGGCTCGCTAGCCGCCCGGGCGATCGGTCACGTCTCTGTCACGCACTGTTGGCAAATACTGGGCATGCACCGGCTCCTGAATGTACCTGAACCCGCTCCAGTGTTGGTCAAGTCTTCTCTTGAAAGAGCTCACACTCGGTGCCGTCACAACACTTTCTGGTAGATTGTTCCAAGAGTTTACAACCCTCACTCCGAAAAAGTTTGCCCTCACGGTTTTCCGGACTTGCGGCTTCTTCAATCTTGAGCTGTGACCCCTTGTGGGGCGAGCGTCCGCCAGCTCCAAGTAAGGACACTCAACTGAGTAGTGCCCCCTGAGATGCTTATAAACCTCAACTAGGTCCCCCCTTGCCCGTCTGTAGTATAAGCTAGGCAAGTTCAGGCGCTCCAATCTCGCAGGGTAGCTGAGATGCCGAAGTGCAGGCACCAGCTTGGTGGCCCTCCTTTGAACATTTTCAACCAACTGACAGTCCCTAGCATATAGAGTGACTGAGGTTGGTAACTGAGATATTTGCTTAATCCTCCAATTACAGTCTGGAGGAGAACAATTACAAAAGAATGAACATTAAAGTTTAAGGATAACGTCTGAGAACAGCACCACCACCAGAATACACAGAACCTGACCAAACCAACCAAAGAAACTCACAGCCATAATAAACAGAAAGTATTTATTTTGATATCTAGTACCAATGAAAGCAACTTTTTTGAATAGTAACTTTACGTTTTTTTTTTTTTTTGTGGGGACTTGACAGTACTGTAAGCTAGGGCAGAGTGAGTTGATAGGAAAACGGGTGCAGTGTATATACCGTGCTTTCATTTACCTGTATTTTACCTTCTCATATTACGGTATGTTAATGATAAAATAATACATTGAAGTTGACATCCAAGCTAAAAGTCACTGTCATTCACCTACCCCAAGACTAACCAGCCAAGTCTCACCTTATAACTCACTGATGATTCCATTGCTAAGGATTCTGGATCTTTCAACATAAAATCCGTCACATTTCTAATCCCAGAATTCTGTAGTTTAGTCATGACGTCCTCAGTAAGAGCAGAACACATCCCAACTGTCAAACGCATTATTATTATTTTGTCACTAAATCACTTGAGTTTTGGTGGTCGCCTGTGATGGTGTGACAGTGTTGCCAGAACCAAGTCCAACTCTGCCAGGTCGGGAGATGATGATGATACCTGTAATAATAATAATAATAATGATAATAATAATAATAATAATAATGATGATGATGATGATGATGATGATGATGATGATGATGATGATAATAATAATAATAATAATAATAATAATAATAATAATAATAATAATAATTCAGTAAAATCATCATTAGCTCTTACAAAATTAATATGCTAACATTCTGCCTCCATTTAGTAGTATTATTTTTAATATAATCAAGGCGTATATATAAATTTAGGGGAGGGATCTGAGGAATATCAAAGGAGGGTCGAAGTTGGGGGATGAGACATGATCACAGCGATTCCAAGTCCGAGCCATGTTCTTTTTCTTTTCTTTTGTTTGTTATCTGACCAATATCATGGGTATTTAGAATATTTTGAATATATGTAACTTAATATCAGGAGATATTATGAGGTCAATAGTAATTACTTTTACTTTACAAAACGCCTGAGTACAATACTGTATTAAAAAATATTGTAATTATCTGATGAAAAGTGGGGTCCGGACCAGCATCCCCCTCTGGATCCGTCCCATTAAATTAGTATGATGTCTAGCTAATAAAAGTATGCATGTGGTATAATGGAATAGAACTTAACACAACCCAACCTAACCTAACCTAACCTTTAACCTAACCTATCCTAACCTAACCTAACCTAACCAAACCTAATCTTACCAAACCTGACATAATATAATCAAACCAACCCAATAATATATTAGGGTTCCTAATAATCCTCTAAACCATATATTCTTGTCATTTTTTTACAAATAATCTGTAACGTAAAATTAATTTGACTAAAATTGACTAAAGATCCATCATGTGAACTTTTTGTTTTTAAAATTGTTATAGCTTAGGTTAATTTCTTTAATATTACTGTCCTACATAATAATAATAATAATAATAATAATAATAATAATAATAATAATAATAATAATAATTATTATTATTATTATTATTATTATTATTATTATTATTATTATTATTACCAACCGATTCTTGAGAATTTTATCTTTGCAATCAATAGTTTAAACAATTCAAAGACAATTTCTTCTAAGACGTTTCCCTCGTAACTGACCTATATAATTATTATTATTGTTAGTGTTTTTGTTATTATTTGCCATTTAATTAAAGTAATACTCGGTTGGTCTCTTTACTACTACGGTAATACCTTTAAATTCATTCAAAGTTATTTAAGTCCCGCATTTAAACTCATTCATGAACTCATTATTTATTTTCATTTTCTATGTTAAAATGTCGCAACTAAAGAAAATAAAACGTTTGTGTGGGATAACTTGTTTAATTTAAATTTTTATATGATTTTCGCCACTCATCAGCTTGCTAACCGTTTGGGCGCTCTATCCAGTGTTAATAAAGGAGGATATAGTGTAGAATAATAAAAAAAGGAGCAGAAGAGAAGAGGAAGGAAAGATAGTGGGAAAGAAAGGGAAGACGAACGCATGAAGGGTAAAGTAGAGGAGGGAATGGAAGACAGAGATGAAGGAAAGGAGGAGGGAGTTAAAAGTGGGATTCCAGGCAGGGTGGAGAAGAAAGAGGGGCAACGAGGAAGAAGAAAAATGATAATGTAATGAAGAGAGAAGAAAAAATAGAACCAGGATATAAATATACAGACGACAAAGGGAAAAATAGCATAATAGAAGAAAGATAATGAAAAGAGAAAGAGGGAGAGAGAAAATTAAGAAAAAAGGAGAAGAAAAAGGGTGGTGAAGTATAAAAGGAAATAGGAGACAGTGAATAGCTACAGGAAGATACAGTAGTAATTAAGAGATAGAGGGCGGGAGAGGGAGATAGGGAACGTTAGGAAGAATAAGAGATAGATAGATAGAAGGAAGGAATCAAAGGAGAAGCTGGCAACAAACGCGAAATAACTCAAATTCAGTTAGATAGACAATAAAGTGAAAGAAAACGACAAAACAAATGAGACTGGTGAAGTAAACAAGGAATCTGTAACATATTCGTAAATATATGAATAACAAAGTAAATATTAAACATTAAACAAAATAAAATTTCCAGAAAGCATATTATCTGTATTAAAGAAAAACAAACAACGGAGCCTAGTCAGATATCTTACTTGAACAAACTTGGGATTTTCTTTATAATCTTGAACAGGATGATGACTGCCTATCGTAGTTCATCATCAGCGCCGTTTAGTACACATTTAATTGCTTTCATAATAGTTTCTTCAGCATTAATGATTATTATTATTATTAAAATTATTATCATCATCATCATCATCATTATTATTATTATTATTATTATTATTATTATTATTATTATTATTATTATTATTATTATTATTATTATTATCTATATTTATTTTTTGGGGGTGTCTTTTCCTGAATAAAGTAATAAGGCCACGTATTCACACTATGTTGCCTTTTGCCTCACAGGAATAATTAGGTTGTTGTATGACGCCCTCAATTGCGTGTAACCGACGAAAACATCCTTGGATATGATGAGTTCCAGAGACCCACGTAACCAGGAGACCTCACACTGAAGTTGGTGAAGTTTATAAAGTTAATATCATCATTATCTTGGTTGTCGTAATCCAAGATGGGGTAAGTTTTGGTTGAAGGAGTCGTAAAATGGGAATATAATTTTGGTTCTTCTGTAGAGTAAACCACTGGCAGATGTCACACAACAGGGGAAGCGTATGGGAGGAGAAGGAGATGGGTAGTATGATCAGTGAGTGAGTGTACCTCCAGTCCTCCTCCTTGATGTTAACCCGATACACCTGCTTTCCTTCTGAATCTTTTGCCAAATATTACTTTTTTTTCATTTTAAAATATATTAAGCTTTACAAAGAGTTCGGGAATGTATAAAGAATTTTGATAGCTATTTATTCCTAAAATAATCTATTATAGAAAAAGGAATTGAGGTTTAACTATCAAGATAAACTTCTGTGGAGATAAAACAACAACAAAACAAAATAAAAAAACCACTTTAATACAATACAAAACAAACAAAAGGCTATGAACATAATAAAACAAATAACTTTTCTACGTTCATCTATCTTGCTGCCTCACGCAAAACAAATACAAGGAAACACGATTGAGTTACCTTACCGAAATTTGGAAACTAATTAACATATGATTAATTCACAACTTACCTGTCTCGCGGGGTTACCATCTTACAAAAACTGAAAAAAAAAACGGTGTAAAAAGATATTTTCTTTAACCAAACTATCACCCTTCATCATCTAAGCTGTTATATCTAGAACAGTGAATTTAAGACAGAAATTCATGATATCTTTAAAAAAAATCGCATAATGTCCACACTTTTGAGTTTTACATCAATAAGTAACTGTATTTATAACCCAGCGTATATACAAAATCTGACGAACGCATAAAAACAAAAGAATATCACAATAAAACCTTAAAATCTATAACACAGAGGCACTAAAATCCATCTTTAAAGAAATAAAAGGGATCTTGTATATCCAAACACCTTAATGTCTTTGGATCTAACACGACAAAACAAAAGAGGATCACATAGGAAATATCTAACTAAGTGAGATCCCTGCTAATATCTGCTCATCTTCACATCCATAAATATTCATATCATCATTCTCCCTTCTTCCTCCTCCTCCTCCTCAACTTCCACATATCATCCTTTCTCACCTCCCTACTTCATCCCTCCTCACACACACACACACTCACACACACACAAACACATGCGCCTTCCCTTTCTCCACCCCTAACTTTATTACACCTTATTCCTCTCCTCCTTCAATCATCAAACACTAATACTTCCTCCTCTTCCTCGTCCTCCCCCTCCTCCTCATCCTACTCGTCCTCCTCCTCATCTCCCTCCGTCTACATTTTTGTCCCGTCGAATCCGGATGGCGATAAGAACTCTATAATACTCGCACCTCTGAGTTGGTCTGGCGGGTTCTGCCACACCATTATAGCCAGATGATGAATATACTTCTCTTGTCTCCCCCTCTGCCCGCCCGCCCGTGCCTTAAGTGGCCTTCATTATTGATATTATCGCGGTGCTGACGGCTAATAATCGTATCTTGGATCTTTATTACGCGAAGGAAGATTGTCTCGTCTCTATTACGGGAGAGAGACCAAAGCGGACCCCAGGCAAATGTCGCATGAAGGAGGCAGCGTGTGTGTGTGTGTGTGTGTGTGTGTGTGTGTGTGTGTGTGTGTGTGTGCCTCAGTCCTTCTTCTGGTGGGTGGTGAGTGTGTTTTCATTCATAGTTCCTCCCGTGTGTGTGTGTGTCAAGTTGTCAATGTTATGTTTTACTTCTCGATAGTTTTCTCTGATTCCCAACACTGTTTTGTTGTCCCTGAGGATATTCTACAATGACTGGCTCCCCCCCTCTCCCCCACTTTCACCAACAGTACATTGGCCTATCTGAACACTGTCTGGCTTCCCCCCAACATTTTTCTGCGTCCCCCAACAGTGTAATGTCTTTCTGTCTTCTCCAACATCGTCTTATTACTTTTCTTGAACGTCTTATGTCTTCCACAAAAGCTCTTCATGCCCCGATGGTCTTCTGCCGTTCTCAACACAATCTTATCTCACCCAATAATCGTCTGCCTTACTAAACATGGTATTACCTTCCCTACAAGTCTTCTGTCATCCACATCACTGTCTTGCCTTCCTCGATAGCTTCGTTACCCCCCTTCCCCCTCCTCCCCGTGGCACAATTAAAGAGAACTAAACACTGTCAAGATATCCGAGAAAAAGTTTTATTATGCGTATAATTTTAAACATCATCTCGGTGTAGCAACATTCTCGAGCATCATGTCTGGGCGTTTTACTATATATAAATATTATTTTTCTGGTCGTATATCATAAGGCGTGATACGCAGGCTTCCCAGAGGTCATCATGATAGGCCGTGTTATCGAACAAAGTGTTGGCCAATAGTGTTGTGGGATGGTAAGTCGTGGTGTCTCGCAGCAGGAGGCAGCCCACCCCCTGCTGCTC